GGAATTTATACTGTAGGGATGGTCATTTAATGAAACTCAAATGTAAATATTCTAATATTTTGAGATACTGGATTTTTGACTTTCATGAGTTGTAAGCTCGAATCATCAAAATTAATAAATAAAAAAATAAAATATTTTTTTTTACAGTATTCTAATTTTTTGAGATGCACCTGTATATAGTCACACTAACACTTCATTGCTGCCTTTCTCTAGGATTGGGCGATATTCATGGGTGAATATTTACAAAATAATTATGCTGGTTTGACAACATAAAATTGAGCAAAATTTTTAATATTGTCATAATTTCAATTCTCTTTTAAATTTGGCAATTAAGATTCCTAAAAAGCATAGCATTTTGCAAGTATGAGAGCATTTTAGACAAGCCCAGTATGTTTTATGCCTTTGAAAGACGTCTCTTATGCTCACCAAGGCTGCATTTATTTGATTAATATACAATAAAACTGTAATATTGTGAAATATTTGTACAATTTAAAATAGCTGTTTTATATTTGAATGTATTTTAAAATATAATTTATTCCTGTGATGCAAAGCTGAATTGTCAGCATCATTACTCCAGTCTTCAGTGTTACATGGTTCATCAGAAATGTTGAACAGTTGTACTGCTTTTTTTTTCTTCTTCTTTTTTTTTGTGGAAACCATGGTCCATATATATATATATATATATATATATACCATATATATTTATATTTAAAACATGACCTCAAACTTTTGAATAATGATGCATTTTAATAATATCTTTAAGTGGCAAAAACGTGTTGGAGATGTTTTGTTAATTTATCAAAATCAAATGATTGTTCCTCTTATTGGGGGAAAAGTAATTTCAGAGTGAGTGCATAAACATATATATTTTTTCTTTTTGATGGTATAAAAAGACTGAAAAATATCTGCATTGTTGAATATTTTAGCTGTATCTTTCAGCCCTACCTTTCACTCACTGTTGAGAATTTCTAGGTCATTTGACTGTGAGGCCATATGATGTCATGTAGATAAACATTACCTCTCCTCTGATTTATTGTAAACTAAACCTGTCCAATATCTTTGTGTGAGTTTATCCAGCAGACAATGATTCCAAGGATTCAGTACTGGCTTCATCCTTAGCTTTCGGTTAGTTACAAGCTAGCTTACATGGAATTGGAGGTTCCAACGAAAGTTTTGTAACTAAAGATCAGCAAATGTTTGTTTTGTTATTTTGGTTAATTTGATTTTGCTTTCAGCTATGAAAACTATATATAGTATACTAGTATACTTTTAGTTCCATTTAACACATTTTGAGACAAATCCATTCTGCAGAATTTTCCAGGGAATCTGCAGAAAATACGGAAAATGTCTGCAGATTCAGTCTGGGCTTAGCTACAAGTGTCTGAATAAACATATAGATCAATCTTTTCCCTTTTATAACCAATAATCCACTGAACCGTGAATCCTCGGGTATCCCAAGACAGTCTCGCCACATTCTATGCATTTCAACTCAATACAGTCATGTATTTTTTCATTCAGAAATATTCTCAACCTGTAGAGATGAATTCTTTCACCTGTTACTCAGGATTTCTGGTGGCTTCACACTGGCAGTGTTCTTTTTACACAGCAGCAGTAAAAATACATGTCACCCCACTCTGTTCAACCAGAACTGGACAAGAATCAGGCTTCATTAGCTGGTTCTTCATCCGAATAAAACGGCCACTGAAACCAGAGTTGAGCGTGTCTGCGTTCTGACCTCTGTGTGTCCAGTTTCCTTTCATTACTTCAACAAGGCCCCACGGGCCACTCTCACCCCCTGTTGTGGTATTATTAGAGTTATCCCCCCTTCCCGTCTCTGAAATGATACTCCTGTTAATAGTTGGCAGGGGAGCTTGATGGACCCCCACTACCCCTACTGAAAGCCACAAACAGCATACTGCCAACATCCAGACAGCCACTGTTCCCTGCGGTCTACCAAAGGCATCTATTACAGAGACTCATAAAACGAGAAGAATGAGGGGTGAAAGTGTTTAAGGGTTTACAGAAGAGCCATTGAAGAACGCTTCAGTTCGTATACATGCATTTGGGGGGGGTTAAGATCTACCGTTTGTCTGCAAACCCTTCTTGAATTACACTCTTAAGTGGAGTATATCATTTAGCGATAGCAGCACTTCTTTTGCGTTCTGCTCCGTTGCTCCAGTAACTAAATTTAGGGTGATCTAAGGTGGCGTGCACCAGGGCTCGGTACTCAGCCCTATCTTATAGAGAGCCCAGTCCACTTTGCTGTGTAATTCATGGCTGGATGCTTGCCTCTGTGATTTGGGTGGATGGATTATGTGGGTTGGCTGTAGTTGTGGAGTCTCACGCCACATCTTATCCCTGCTTTGATAAAAGTGGAGGAGACACACTGAGGAAGGAACCTCCACTCAGACCTGTCGTCTTCCTGAACTCTAATCCTGAGATTAGAATCCGCTCACTGATATACACGCTCTCAGGCTGATGATACACAGGGCAACTATTTCAGCAATGTTGCCGTCAATGGGCAACCATGTGAGACACAGGGCCCACAACCGATCTAAAATATCCAGATAGAAATTTGTTACCCATTCTCAATGGGAAAGTGCCCAAGCAACATTGCTCAAAAAAAAGTTGCCCGGCAAAATTGCTCAAAAAGTTGCTCAGTGTATCATCAGCCTCATAGATGCACCCACATATAATCACAGGCCCAAAACATACATTAAAGGGATAGTTCTCCCAATAATGAAAATTCTGTCATTAATTACTCACTCCCATGTCGTTCCAAACCCGTAAGACCTTCGTCCATTTTTGGAACACAAATTAAGATATTTTTAATGAAATCCAAGAGCTTTCTGACCCTGCATAGACAGTAATGCAACTACCATGTTCAAGGCCCAGAAAGGTAGTAAGGACGTAGTTAAAATAGTGGCGTTGTGGTACTTTTGTGAACGGGTATCGGAGACTGACATGGAAGAGAAGAAATTGTTGAATAAAGTCTTTATTTTTGCTTTCTTTATGCACAAAAATTATTCTCGTAGCTTCATAAAATTAAGGTTTAACCACTGATGTCACATGGACTATTTCAGCAATGTCCTTACTACCTTTCTGGGCCTTGAATGTGGTAGTTGCGTTGCTGTCTATGGAGGGTCAGAGAGCTTTCAGATTTAATAAAAAAATATCTTAATTTGTGTTCTGAAGATGAACGTAGGTCTTACGGGTTTGGAACGGCAATAGGGTATGTAATTAATGACAGCATTTTTATTTTTGGGTGAACTATCCCTTTAAGCACATTAATGACAATACATCTAATTACGAAAGCTTAATTTCATGTGTTTTTTGCATTTCGAAATTTCAGAGTACACGAACATGAGTTGCATTCTCAGTGTTGCCACAAGGGGTGCTATAGTGAGCATTAGCGTAAGACTTCTTCTTCTATCGTAATTTTTTTCTACACTATACAAAATGATTCTGTATTTTTTTAGTGATTTTGTGAGTATACTGTTAAATTAAATTAAATAATTTAGAATTTAATAAAACATGAAATGTAGTAGAGTTATTGAGAGCTCTTAGATTTAATAAAAAAATATCTTAAGTTGTGTTCTGAAGATGAACGAAGGTCTTACGGGTTTGGAACGGCAATAGGGTATGTAATTAATGACAGCATTTTTATTTTTGGGTGAACTATCCCTTTAAGCACATTAATGACAATACATCTAATTACGAAAGCTTAATTTCATGTGTTTTTTGCATTTCGAAATTTCAGAGTACACGAACATGAGTTGCATTCTCAGTGTTGCCACAAGGGGTGCTATAGTGAGCATTAGCGTAAGACTTCTTCTTCTATCGTAATTTTTTTCTACACTATACAAAATGATTCTGTATTTTTTTAGTGATTTTGTGAGTATACTGTTAAATTAAATTAAATAATTTAGAATTTAATAAAACATGAAATGTAGTAGAGTTATTTATTTATATTTGTTTGTTTTTATATTATTCACTTTTTTTTTTAATTTATTGATATATATATATATATACATATATATATATATGTGTGT